GCTGTGGTTTTCTTTTCAGGTTTAAAGGAAGCAAGAAAGAAGATGTGCTTGGGGTGTCCTACAACAGGCTGATAAGAATAGATATAGCCACAGGAGACCCTATCACAACATGGAGGTTCTCTACCATGAAGCAGTGGAATGTGAACTGGGAAATACGCCAGGTAAAACAGGAACAGCTCACAGTATTTAGCCATTACATTTCAGGCAATGGAAATCTTTTTAAACCTTACAGTGAGGAAATTTTAAATGTGATCTGATGTGTTATTAAATAACACAGGGTTTTTTTTCTTAATTGAGTCTGTAGTGAAAGTTCAGAAAACTATAAGGTCTCCAAGTTTAAAGTCTACCTACCAAGATTATTCAAGTTGCTTTTGATTTTAGTGGGATGAAATACAGAGACTTGAAGGTAAATTTCTCCTCGTTATCTTTGTCTCTAAGAATACCTCTTATTCATGTGTCATCCTCTAAATTACAGTAGTTCAGTCCCTGTTACAGACTGAGGATGCAAGAACCCAGCTTGTTTTTCAAATCCTGTACTGAGGTTGCAAACTCCCACACGTCCATACAGATGCTCCGTTGCGCAATTTCTAGCAAGGTGCTTCTGCTCCTGGATGCTCTGGGCAACCAGCTGTTGCCCAGCAGCCTACTGAAGCATTTCGATTTCAAACTTTGAAGCCACCTTTGAAATTGCAGATTACTGGTGTGGAACAAGTGTAAGCTGATATAAATACAAGCAAATACAAGCTGACATAAATACAACTTCAAATTTTTCCTGCTTATACTGTTTTCCATATCCATCTGCAAGAGCCAGGAGAGATCAAATACAATGTCTGTTGCTCTCCCCGTTGCTGCAAACCCCTGCTGGAGCAAATAATGCCTCTCACAAAAGCAAAAGCCAGTTCGCAACGAACCCCACTTTGTTGGATTTTAGAACTGACAGTAGTGGAAATCAAAACCTGGCCCCCAAATCGGATTTGAAGTCAGCACATAACAACAAATGGTATTAAACATAGTTGGTTAAACGTGCAGGGAGTCAGGAGTGCCACTTCTGCTCTTCTCAGTGTTCTCACTTAATACGCCAGTAGAAAAAAAATCATTTGAAACTTTTTGTTGCCTGCCAGAAAGGCCTTTGACCACAAGAGGGCCCTGACAGAACAGAACATTAACAAACAAGAAACCAAAGACCTTCAACGTACGCAGACCCAGAAATCTTTATAGCTCTTGGTTAGCAGAGACAGGTGCTGCTTTGTCACCATATTTCTGGTCCAGCTGTGCTCTCACACTCACTCTTTCTCTGACACTGAAGCAGAAAAATGATGCAGTTTATCTCCATTCCTTCATTTTCTGTATCTGTTTTCTCTAGGTTGGAATTGAGTTTGATCAGAACGTGTCTATTGCTTTCACATGTCTGAGCGCAGACTGCAAAATCATCCATGAGCATATTGGGGGCTACATCTTCTTGTCAACCCGCTCCAAAGACCACAATGAATCTCTAGATGAAGAACTGTTCCACAAACTAACTGGAGGTCAGGAATGAGGTGAAGTAAGCTCTGCCTGCTTCTCCCCACTGCTTAAGAGAACAAGAGATGAAAAAATATATATCTCTGATCGTTAATTACTGAATAATAAATAATTTGTACAGGAATTCGAGGACATTGTGCAGCGAATTTCTTCTGTTACAGCCGTGTAATTCCCACTGTCAAATCAGCCCCTGTTAAACAGGCCATCCTTTAATAGAATGAGTACTGAATAAATATGTTTTAAAGCTATATCACCTGTCTAACACTTGTGCTGGGAACAGAAAACACTCAGGCAGCATTCCAAAGCCCTAGAGGCTGAGCTGTCATGACCCAAGTAGTGATTACACAGTTCAGAAATACCGTGGTGCTGTGTCTATGTTCACCCATATAAATAGCTCCCATAAAACCAGTGGAGCTACCACATACCAAGAACAAAGCATTTATCCCGACAGAATTGGATTCGGGATGTTAATCTTTTGAGGAACTCTGTCAGTTTCCAGATTGAAAAAATGCTTTAGGTATTATTTTAAATTAATTTATTAATTTAAATTTACTTGTTAAAAAGACCTTTGAGCATAGGCCTTCTTTCTGTCTTCTGTCCTTGTTACTCTGTTTTGTGGTAACATCTAACTCTAAGTTTGTTCAGGAGTTAGGAGCCAACAGAAATTACCTTGCTTATGAATGTAATGAAGAATAGAAGTTTACTCAGAAACACTGTGCCTAAGGAACCACATCTATAGCAGCCTGTTGGAGAGAGTCACGCACATCCACTTGTTCTGAAAGAACTTTGGTTCTGCCCTATAATATGTAGAAAGTTAGGAGGATTCATAAAACTGCTGGACAAACCAAAACTGGTTTCAGGTATCTAAAGAAATTGAAGAGACAAGTGTTGCCATGTCACTAGAAGATGTTGCAGAAATGACTGTATAATTTCCAAATGTCACAGGCTGGACAGCCCTCATTCTTCTGTCATATCCTGTGCTTTTCTCCTGTGCCTGCCAGAAGGCTGTTGAAGAATCACTCTCAATTTAAACAAACAGTGACTTTATATTTTGCTAAAGAGTGAGCAGATACAGCCTATTTCCCAGCCCACTGTGACCTTTCTCCTCAGCACTTTCTATACAGGGGCAAAGGAACCATCCAGTTTTACTTCAGCTGAGGACTGACTTGTTTCTCACTTGCTTGACACAAGCCAGGTATTTTCCTCAGAGTCTAAGAACCACAGATAGTAACAGATAATCCAAGTCCAAACACTTGCAGGATTTAAAACCTGCCCTAGGGAGCTATGGGAGAGCTGAACACAGATGTCAGTGCCACAGGTGCCCTCTGCCAGACAGCCTCCATGTCAGCTACTGGCTTTCAGTCAGGATCATGGCCATGTCTGTGCTGAAACCCTGCATTTGGCGACAGCAGGCTCTGTCACATTGATCACCAGGAAGCACAGCTCTGTGCTTGCCGCTCAGCACAGAGCTTGTCACACAACCATCGCATGGAACACCTGTAATTGCCCCCTGTTGTTTAAATTATCTGAATATGAAAATCCAGACACTTTGAACACAGTTCCCACTGGCACAGCACTTGACTCCTACAGTGCTTAGCTAACAGGCGTTCTTCCAGTCAAGGATGCCTTGGCTGAAGTGAAACTACCAAATCTTTCCGTTCTTTACCACCCCTCCCTCCGTCTCACTCTGGTGTGTCACTGCCTTTCTCAGAAAGCCTTCCTGCTGCTATGCAAGCAGAAGCTTTGTCAGTTCATTCAGGCTGGCATGTAAGCCCCACCATCTGCCATGCTTCCTTGCCCCTGCCCTGTCTCCATGGATTTTGAGATCACTGTTTCTTCTTGTACCACCTAACTTACAAGGATCTTGGATGAGAGGAAAAGAACACAGAGAGCAATCTGTTCTTACCCATTTGCCTTCAGTACTGCATGGGGCAGTGGCTGCAGCTGCTGTAGGCAGCCCAGGGGTTGCGCAGGGCACAGGGCACTCTGTACCTTGCAACCCCAGGCTGAGCAGCCTGCTGTGCCTGGGCCTGCACACAGCCCTGCTCAGGGCCAGCTGCTCAACTTCCATCCCACCCTTGGCACCAAGCATGTCATAGCCAGACTCAGACCTTTCCCTTCATGCACACCAGATACCACACCCTTACTCACGCAATAGCCTGATTTAACTTGGCTTTTGCTGTTTGTACCACCAACGCAGCACTCTATAGTAAGAAAGTTACTAACTGCACAGTCCTAGGACTGCGTGAGAAATACTTTACAGGGAAAGCATCTACCCTAGAAATAAAGCATCTTCTGTCTGTGCAATACATGAAGTCCCAGACAGGGACGTTATTTTCATTAAATCAAAAACCTTTAGCAAACTAATACATTGGCCCAAGGGTGTGACCGTATTCTATGTCATGCTTAATTAAACTAATGTCAGATCAGGGTAAAATGCTACCAATGTCAGATGGCTGCTATCTGTCCTTATCCACAAGATTCCGTAGGGCATTTCACTGCTGCCTTCAGACTGCACTACTGTAAGAGACAATACACACGCCCCATAGTTTTCTGAAACCTTGGGCTAGATAATCCTCTCTCCCTAATGGCTGTAGGAAAATGTCTTGCTAGTGCTAGTGCTTGCTAGTGGAGTGACCAATAAAGTATTTCTTCTGTCGGCTTTAAGAGCCATTCTCCAAATTTTTCAGGATATTTTCATTCTTAGCCATCACTTGGACCAAAGCCAGTAAAAAACACTCATCTCTTAAACTTAACAGTCTGGTACCATTCTCACCTTCTCCTTTTCTCCCCATGGCTCTGCTTATCGCTGTGTCACTGAGGAATGCAAGGCCCATCCCTAGCATTCCTGCAGGCAAGGAGGTTTTGTGCAGCACTGAATCAGCCCTAAGGAGGGGGCGTCTGGTTTAGCTCTTTGTGCCTCATAGATCATCCGCATGAAAAAGAAACTAACAAAAATGCCTGCCTTTACTGAGCATTCCTTCAGATTGACACCAAAACTCCCAGAAAAGCAGAATAAGGAGCAACTTGAGAACAGGTCGAAGTGACACACAGGGAGAAAGGAAATCTCCACCTGCTGCATCAGATTATTTCCAAGAAACTGGTGAGAGAAGGCTGCTGTCTGCCTTGGGAAAGCTCCACCACACCTGGGCAGCTCTCTGAGATATACCATAGCAATAGTATTCCAAATGATTAGAGTTTGCAGCTTGGCTAAGAGTAGGAAAAAATGTAATGCCTGCCCCAAAACTGTGCATCCAAAAACCAGAGACAAATGTGAAAAAGAAATGTAACAAAAGCTCATTTTCCTTGGCTGTTCTACTTTGTATAAGAGCTTCTCATAGTCAATCAGAATCAAGCTTCTCAGCTTCTCAAAAAGGAGCTTTACGGCTAAGAAGCTGCAAAGGCAAAGAGAAGGCAGGGCTCCCACTAGTGTGGTTGAGACCAGACTTTGCTCCTATCACTCCTGTAGCAAATACTTCAGAATCTTTTTAACCTGTTCCAATTTGCCCTTTGAACCTGGCGGATCCCCAGAGCTACCTGTAGGCCTAAGAGCACCTGGCCTGCGTGCTCCCCAAAGCGCAGGCCTGACATCTGTTCCACCAATGTTAATCCATGGGATTAGCCCTTCATTTAGGAAACTATTTGTCTTGCCCGACAGCCATTCCGCACAGAACAACATGTACGTTGCACCCAGCCTCTAAAGGAACCACAAGGGCTCCAGAGAGTCCTACTCAAAGCCTGTATCTTGATCCGGAGATGTTCTGGTGTTTTTCAAGGTCCTCTCCCCACACAGATAATGAATGACATAGTTGGAAGATAAGGTCTGCATACATGCAGAGTCAAGGATTTTGTGAAAGCAAGACCTTTATCTGCACTTTAGCACCAAAGCTCGCAGGCCTGTTCTCCCTTCTACATCACAATCTCCTTTGTCACCTTGACAAATGAAAAGCACTGACTACTGTTCTCCCTGGAAATGTTAACAACTGTCTTATAGCAGCAACTAAGCAGCCACATTCTTGCTTTAGCTTTGGAACCACCTCTGTTAATACATTCCTTTCAAGTTCCTGCTGTTCATCTTGGCCCCTGACCTGATGGTTTCAACTATGACAGCCAATAGCCCTAGTTCAGAGCAGTCCCTTAGCTTTACATCACTGCTCTTACTTACACCAGCAAAGGAAGAGCAAAGGAGCAGGAAGGGAACCTTCCCCAGCTACACACCACAGCAGATGCAGCACATAGAAGAGAAGCCCCACACAGCAGGTCTGAGAGCTGGTCACACTGCCGAGTGATGCTGCGGGCCTCTCCCCCAGCTGAAGGGATTTTGCAGGAGCAGCAGGTGGGTGGGAGCTTTCCTGAGGCACGTCCCAGGAGCCTCCTCAGCTCTGAGAGATGCCATCTGTCCTGGGAGAGCAGTCCTGAGAGTTACTCCCAAGTGCAAGTGTCTTACAGAGAAATGTAAATGCTTTAAGCCTCTTATTGGTATGCAGAGTTATCAACACCCCTGTCAGCAGATGGAGCAGAGCTCCACATCTTTACAGTCCGTCCACAAAAAAAAAAAATCCAGAAGAATTCCTCTCCCTTCCCAAGCTCCCTCCGCCCGAGGAAGATGCGATGGGTGGGACTGGAGGCACTGCTCCACTGCCTTTACCCGCGTGCTCAGCAGAAGACGGAGGCAGCAGGCCTGCCCGGGGAGCGGCGCTGAGAAACGGCAGCCCTCCCACCCTCCTGCGAGGGGGGAAAGCTGCGGAGCCACCCCCTCCCCAGGCAGGGGGAGCGAGCCTGGAACGAACGTCGCCTGCGCTTGTGGGCAGAGCCGCGAGCAGGGGAAGCCGGGAACAGAACACAGACCTTACACGCTCCTCGGCTGAGTCACCAGAGTGTATAAAACAGAGCCCGGCAGCTCATGCTGCGCGAAAGGGGAGGCACAAGGCATCGGGACTCTCGGGCAGGTACGTGCGAGCGGCCGCGGTTTAGATCTGGGGGCTACGGGTGAATGTAGAGCAGGATCCAGCCGTCCCGCTGCTCCCATCCTCCCGCTGCCATGTGCCACGGAGCAGGGAAGCCAGCAGCCCCGGGGACCGGGAGATCCTGAGGCTGCTCTACTCTTGTGCGGCTCCAGACGCCGGAAAGGACTCAGGTGATCAAAGCACACTGGCTGGTCCCACCTCAAACCTGAGATGGGAGCAATAGACGATGCTCTGTCCAATACCTGGCATCTCTCAGGGAACAGCAAGTAGCTATTAAGGTGAAGAAAGAGCCCGAAACAATAGGTTAATAAGTAACACTAGTTCAGGGCTATGGTTAATTCGTTCCTCTGACACAGAACTACCTGCACGGCTTTGGGCAAGTCACTTAGGACTTGTATTTTTCAAAGGGGTCTTCAGGTTCCTGCTGAGCTTTTGAAGTTCTCAGAGGAGTGATGCAGTCAACTTTGGTAGGAGTCTCATGGATGTTGTGTATTTTTCAAAGTGTTTGTCTATCAAAAATGTCACCCATCTCATAGAGGACTGGGACGAGTGAACCGGAGGCTGTGATACTCACACAAACCCAGCTGGGGTGGGACAAGGAGGGAACATAGAGGGAACTATAACGCTGAATAAAGTGCATCTCAGAACCCAAGCTTTTGGGGCCCTGATCCAGCATGCACTCAGGTCTGGCCACTTGAACAATAACATGGGTCAGCAGCTACACTACCAGCACCTCCCTTTGCCTCTGGAACTAGAGCACATAACATCTCGCCCACAGCAGTGCCCCAGCCACACCTGCCCCCAGCCCCATTGCCTGGCTACCTCCCCAGCAGGCAGCTCTTCCCAGAAAAGACACTGCACTCTGTGGGGTTGTCCTGCTGCAGTGCACAACCAGGTACAAAGTCATATAACATGGCAGTATCCCTCTCCTGCAGGTTGTGCTGTACCAACACATATTGCTGCAATGTCGACCAGTCAATTAGCTCACTTCCCATGCAGCTGCTGCTCCGATGTGCGATACTGCTTGGTTGCTTTCTGCATGAAAAACTGTAGGCAAAAACTGTAGCCCCTTCTGTCCCAGGGGGCTTCTTTTTGTTTAGGCTTAATTATAGAAGAGACATTAATTATCCCTTACACTGTCTGGATGCAACAGGAAAACAATTACAAGCGTTTCACTTTTAAATAGCTCATAGTTACCTGGAAGTATTTTAATTTGGTCTGTAATGCTGATGTTATGTTTTCCTTTCCCTGAAACAAAAACGAAACAGATCTTGCAACTAACCATAAGCCATCCAGCAGGAAGATGTTCTCCCTCTTGGTCATCCTTTGTCTGCTGGCAAGGAACACAACATCAGGCCCAGTGAGCAGAGCAGAGCCTGCAGCATCCAGGGATGTCACCACCATTTTCCAGCTGGCTCAGGGAGACCGTTGGGAGAACGTTAATCTCACCAGCATGTCCTGTGAGGATTGGAAGAACAGGACATGGATCACCCTGCAGCTGACCAACAGCAGCCTGACGGCTTTCCCCATCTGCCTCCCAGAGGCCCTGCAGACCTTGGATCTCAGCAACAACTTCTTAGAAGAGGTGAATGGCACAGAAATAGCAAACCTCCCGCAGCTGCGCGTCCTCATACTGAGGCAGAACCTTCTCCAGGCAGTCAGGTGGAGGTCAGAAACCTTCAGCAGTCTTCATTTACTGGACTTAAGCTTTAACAAGCTGTCGTCTGTGCCACCATGCCACACCTCTTCAATGCCTAACCTGAGGTGGCTGTCCTTGGCTGGAAATCCACTGATTGAAATCCAGCCATTGGCTTTTTCCTGTTACCCCCAGCTACAGTTCCTGAACCTCTCCAGAACTCTGCTTGGGCAGGAAGGCAGCAGGGGAATTCAGGAGTCTGCTTTTGCCATCAGTCTCTCCCCTGGTGATGCTCTGCACAAGCCTGAGAACACCATCAGTGTGCTTGATCTGAGCGGGACCTTTCTCGAGAGAAGTAAGTTTACAGATTTCTCATAGTAAAGAGGGGGCCAGTGTGAGTGTGTGAGGCATTCTCCAGTGTCACATAACCCTGGAGAGGCCCTAGCACAGAACAGATTCCCTGAGAGAGGACAGCACCAAGCAGAACTGCCCATCTCATTGCAGCACCCTGCCTCCCTCCTAATCCTGCAGCATGCCACTGCCAGCCCCAGGATTAGCTCTGGAAAGCACAGAAGGAAATTCATTTCTCTTTCAGGACAAATGGCCAAAATCTTTCATTGTCTATCCCCACACTTATACCCTGCTTTACACTGCTGCATTGAAGTAACACAGAGAGCATGGCAGCTAAAACCAGCCCAATACTTCTGCACAGTGAGACTTCCCAGCCTGGAGCAACTGGCAGCACAACTTTTCCTTTTGTACATCTCCTCTGTCAGCTTACTTGTAACTGAGGTGCTGAATGCTTTGCCCAGCTGGGGCAGAGCCAAGGCCTGGCCCCAGTTCTCCCACATACCAGGCCACTGCTTCCCTGGCCTCGCTACACAGCCACACTACGCATTTCCGTCTCGCTTCATAGGAGTTTTATTCATCTAAAACAATCCTACTCTCACAGGGGCTCTCAGTGAAGTGCCACCATGCATTATTGGTCAGCACTGGTACAAGACGCACAGCATGGAGTCACAGCAGTGATTTCCCCCAGAACAGGGCAGCAATAGCTCTACCCTAGGGCAGGGAGCGAGAAGAAGACAGCACTTCTTCTGTACTGGCCCCAGTTCCAGCAGGCAGCAGTGGAGACGACTTCCCTAGGTCACCTCACCAAGCACTGACCAGATATACCGCTAAATTTCTAATACCTTTTGTAATGAGTTACATGATTCAGTCCTGGGATGGAAAAGCACTTTGGTATAAGTTCCTCCATGGCTTCATGTCTCAGCTCCTTCCTGTGCTAGAAGAAATGGGATGTTATTTGCCTTTCTCACACCACTCAGGACTTTGTAGATCTCTCTCATTGCCCTCCAGCCATCACTTCTCTGAGAATCCATTTAACCTCACCTAATAGGAAAACCGTTCCATCTCTCTGGTTGCCTTTATTACCTTTCTCTCTATGTTCCCTTCTTCTCTTCTGCCCCACAATGGCATGGTCAGATCTGTAACAGTATAAAAATAATTGCTCCAGTGTTTATATGCCTGCGCACAGATTTTTGTTTATATTCCTTTCCCACAGGGAATAGCTGCAGAAAACCACAGAGATATTTTCCATCACTATGAATTTAGAACTTTTATCTGGTAGTTCCCTAGCTAAGTTACTAATAAATCCATGTGCTTCACAAAGAGAGGGTTCCATCTTTTCCATGTGCTGCTTGGCAAAATCTCACTAACATCTGTCATTGGGCCAACAGTTCAGTCTGCTTCTTTTTTCCTAGGCAGAAATCCACAGCAATGCAATATTTATGCAAAAAGTAAAAATCTCTTTTCTGCTTCAGTTCAAGTTGAGTGGACCAGAGACTTACCCAATCTTGGATTTCTTCACCTGACCAAGATGCCAAAATTACGAAGTCTTGATACTGACTTCAGGTCTATGCCTCGTCTCAGAGAGCTGAACTGCCGTGACTCCCACTCTCTGGGTTTTGTGAGGACAGAGATGTTTGAAAGCACACCCAACCTAAGCCATCTCTCCTTTCAGAAGTGAGTTGTTTTCTTTTCTGTTGTTCTTCATCAGTCATTGCCTTTGTCTCCCAGAACAACTGTGCGAGGAGCTGACTTTTATGCAAAGGTTGTTTGTCATCACATATGTGGAGAAGAGTTATGGGTTTGTGTGTCGTGGAGAATCAGTATATGCACCCAGGTACACCACATGAAGCCTGTGCTGTAGCAGCAGGACTAATACAGCAGGAGAACTGATAAAGCCCAAAAAGCTGGTGTGAGACTTAAGAGCAATAGCACAGTTACCATTTGTCTGACATAACATCCATCCTGCTGCCACTCCACTAGAAGGCTTCACCCAGCATTGATGAGATCAGCACAGATGCTCTGAAGCCTGCTTTTGATAGCTGATCATGCTTCTAAAGTCTACATTGCTTTACAAAGGGTGAAAGCTAATAGTTTCCTAAAATCTGCACCTTGGAAACAATCAAAAATTCCTTCTGCTTCTTTCAGTGCAAAAGAAAAAAAGTCCCTCATTCAGCATTAGTAAAAGTAATGGTTTAGAACTCAGGAATAATATATTGGAGTGGCTTACTCATTGTGCCACACACCTGTTGAAACACCACGGGAAACAAAAATCCAAAGGTGATCTATCAAGATGGGGGGGGTAGGTAAACTGCACACAGAAGAGTCAACACAAGGGAAAACATTTGGAGAACACCTTAGAAGACTTTCATATTACTGGCCCAGATTATAAGCAATCACTACAGCAGTGGCTGTGCTCAAGGTGCCAGTTTCAGAAAGACAAATAGACCTCTTCAAGCAAAATATAAAATAAACCCCCCACTAGACTGCCACACTGAATTTACACAACATTTTACAACATACGCAGAAATATCATTTCTAAGTGCTAAAAATCAGGACCCAAACTCAAAGAGAAGAAAGGAATAACAAAGTCGCAGAGAAAAGACAGCACCTTCTGAGCACTCAGGTTGAGCACTTTTTCTGTGGCTAGGGCAGTTTAACAGTAAAGGCAAGCAAGGTCTTCCTAGATCAGTTATTTGATTTAGTAGATGAAGGATATGATCTAAGAGAGGTGACATGAAGGGACGACTGGCATAAAAGAAGTCAAGCCACTAGAAGCACACTGAGAAAGAAGCCAGAGAAATGACATAACATAAAAGTGCAGGTGAATGCATGATGGCAGAGATAACCTTCTCCTTTCCAGCTGCAATCTCTAAGGGTGCTATCCACTTACAGCACTTCAGCTATATGCTAGCAGACAGCAGCCACATTGTGCAATTTAGAGAGATGGGCAGATATCAACCTGGACTTTCAGATGCAGAATGGGAGTGTTGGTAATATGGTACTTCCAAGGCAACTGGCAATTTTGCATTGTATCTTACACAGGATGGGATACTAAAGCCTGCTCCAATTCTTCAAAGGTGAGCTCAGCACTAACTGATTACTTTATTTGTCATCTTTTTAGCTGTAACCTGAGTTCCTTTAATTCTTGGAATACCAATTCTTCAGACAGTATCATCATCAACTTGCATGGAAATCCTCTGCTATGTGACTGTAGGCTCTCCTGGCTGCTCTCCACGCCCAAGATTGTGCTGCAAAAGTAAGTGTGTTCGAGGAGATGAAGTAATCCTCTTTATACACAACTTAAATATGCAAGTTATTTGAAGACCAAATAGTCACTACCTTACAAGTTACTCACATTCCTTGAATGTTCCTCATTTCCACAAGAGGTAGAAATGTAAAATAAAGTCTTTTTCTAGGGAGAAGCTATGGCTGAATTACATTTGGAAGTAGACAAATACGGTAGGCATACATAGAAAAGCACAAAGTAATATTAGCTGTGGATTCTGAGAATAGTTCATTTTCCCTCTTGGTTCACATTTCTCTATTTGCTGGAGATAAAAAATGAGCTAGCTAGGTGGCTTTGATGGGCAAGCACTGGGAGCATGGCTGGAAGACTTTACAAGTACTTTCAATCACAGTTTCCTCCTTGCTCTGGCATTCCCAAAGCCAGAGGCAGTGAACAAACTTGCAAAAAAGTACCATTTATCTTCAATTGTTTTCATGCTTCCCAAGAGTTTTACAGAAGTACTTTGCATATGCATGATCTGTCTTCCTTTGGAGGGGCCACCAAGATTTCACCACCCATAACTAAGAAAGCAGGGAAGTATACTGTTAAAATCAGATTGCCTCTCTTCAGGAAGGACTTAGCATTTGCATTCTTTAAAAAAGCCTGCAGGGACTGAGTAAAGAAAGAAACTGAGCTCAGTCACTTAAATGCTGGATGTGCTTTAGCATGGCTCTAGCAGTCTGAGACAGCCAAGTTTAAGGATCCTGGGGACCCCTTTACAACTCTCTGTATGTGTTTCCTTCTTAAGTGCAGCAATTAAGTCTGAACCTTTAACACAAGCTGCCTTGAACCCAGACACTCTTGCCAAGGTCCACAGAGTACCAAAGGATGCTTTGTCTCAGGCACCTTACAAAAGCCAAGAGCTAGTCAGCTATGTTCACAGGTGCTGTGGAAAGTCATCTATTTAGCACAGGACTATCATTAAAACAACCTAACTCTAGTCCAGGTCTTGCCTCTTTAATATGAAGAATGGTTTGGGATAAAAAGTCTCACAGGAGCCTGTAATGCTCTTGTGGAACTGGTCTGTTCTGACTTGTCCTCTCTGCAGGGTTTTGGACACTTTTTGCACCACATCCCAAGAAAATGGGGACAGGCCTTCAGTTTCTTTTTCACTGCAAGATCTCTACAATAAATGCCAGGCTGAGAAGGATATCTCACTGCCGGATTCAAACACACCCTCCAGCCAAGGAGATGCTTTCAGCCTTGCCAGCTACTACACCACGACTGCAGCAATGACAGCAGACTCTGCTCCGCTAACCAAAGACGCTTACATTCGTCTGAATGAGGAAGCCAGTGTAATGAGCACAACTGCAGCCAACCCAGCTGAGCTGATGCTCACAAAAGCCAACAGTTCCTCCCCTGAGGACGAGGCAGTTTCCGAATCCATGAGCCATCCCCCTTTCCTTGCATCTCTAACCACCTCCCCCGGTTTTCTCAGAGAGCTCTACAGCCAGACCACGGATTATGGCTCTGTGAGTCAAACTGAAACACTGAAGCAGCTCCAGGGAGAGCTCAGAAAAACTCACATGGCATTTCCCCAGGAACGCCTATTCAGCCAGCCCACTAGCAAGCATTCTACTCCAGCAACAGGAAAACTAGATGCCATTCCCCATTACAATCACTCCTTTGCTGCGGAAAGGACACCACAAACAAATCTACGGCAGCCAAACTCCAGCCAAACAAAGACCAGCACTCAGTCAGCATCCACGCCCACCCGACCACGGATCCACTACGTAGATGACTATGAATACAGCGAGGAGACAACGGAACCCCCTGTGCAACAAGTGTACACCTCCTGTGACTACAACCCTTGCAGACACCTTCAGAAGCCGTGCAGCGAACTTCAGAGAGCGTCCCCATGCTTATGTCCCGGCATGTCAACAGAAAATGAAATTCCAGACCCACCGAGGCTCAAAGAGGTGTCTGAAGTCACGGACAGCTCTGCTCAGATACACTGGTGCGCTCCAAACTCCATTGTTCGTACCTATCAGCTGATGCTCCGTGACCAAGGCGATGAGGAGGAACAGCTTGTCCTGGAGAACATTTACTCCACAGCGAGGCAGTACACTCTGTATAACCTCTCACCATACACCACTTACCAGATTTGTGTGACTGCTTCCAACAGCGCAGGGTTAAGCCGCACAGTAAACCAGGGAACTGCAGGCAATTCGTGCGCCAGGTTCAGAACAAAGCCCAGTTACAAGTCTGTCTTTGCTGCTCTGTCTGCAGCAAGTGGACTCTTTCTCATTTCCACAATTATTTTGTCCATCTGTCTGTGCAAGGCACGTAAAAAGCCTCACAGCGAGCAGTACGGTACGCATCTAGTCTCCTACAAGAACCCAGCATTTGATTACCCATTAAAGTTACAGACTACAGATTAGCGCTAGGTGGTTGTTCTGCACATTCCAAGGTCGCTATCTCTATCACTTTGGTGTGTTTTCCTTTATCAAAAAGTCCTTCAGCAAAAAAAAAAAAAAAGGAGATATCTGACATCATTGCCACTGTGTTTCTAGAGAAGAAAAAAAAAATTTTAAAGAGGCATCCAAACAAAAAAAATGCCTTTGGTTCTTGTTCACGTGCTAAGTGTGGACATTAACCTTGAGAATTAGCTTTATGCTCACCTACAAATATACTAATATAGATTTCACACCGTGAGATGGATCCTTGTCAGCTTTCAGTCAATACAGTCCATGCAGAGCGAGAATCTAGAATGCATTTCACCAAGCACAACACATACTGCTTTTACTCACATGAGTGAGGCTGAGTTTTCATTTTCAAAAAAGCATTACTGGACAGAGCATGAGACAGACCTCCTTGGGCTCAGTGGCAGGGTGCTATGTGCATCCAACTCCAGTAAATAACTCTGGTGACCAAAACTGCTCAGCTCTACTTCTGGTCAGGAAAAAGAAACACGAAGGCGAACTGCCAAAAGGAAGAGCAAGACACTGCGGGATCATCACAGCCAGGACAATTGTCTTGTTCTGACTTTGTGTGACATCTTCTGCAACTGAAGCTTCCGAGTGCTACCACAATAGCAACCACAGGCAGTGTGGAGTTTGGAATACAGTTCCTCACAGAAAGGGTGGGAGGGAGCACATCAGCGTTTTACTTTACTTTTTACAATTAACTTTAAACAAGAGATTACTGCTCAGTTCCATCTGCAGATTGAGCAGGCTGATGACTTACCTCATACAGAGGCACAGAGCCAAGCAAAGAATTAATTGAATGCATATGTTGCTGAGACTTGAAAAACTGAAATCCTGTACACTAGCAACAGCAGAGATTTATGCAGACATTTTTCACATGTACTTCAGGGTACTCATTTCTGCTACACTAATAACAACAGATGCTGACAATTCCCTTTCTCCAACAGCTTAGAGAGATCTTTTCATTAGAAGTTTCTTTTAATAAGAGGCAGCATTTGCCCTACAAACGTCAAACATTTCCCTCTAACGACCACTGTTCAGAGAGCAAAGTATGTTTCTGCTGTTGTATAGATACAGCATATCAAATCCCCCCAGGCTCAGAGAATGAAGAGTGCTGTATGCTGCAAGAGTCTCTTTTCTCTCCATATTTTTTTAATGTTCCTTGTATTAATGGAAATAAAAGCTACAGACTGGTTCTTTGTTAAAGACAGATCTCTGAGTTGTGTTTACCGTCTACAGTGTTTAGCCAGAAGAGTGAACACCAATATTTCATTATTTTGGAACCTTCACGTATACAGTTACAGAACAATTCATTAAGATAAATCCGTGCTGTCTGATGTCAAGAGAATGTTCATTTTGTATGTGCCACATGAAACAGGCCGCAGCTTCCTCACCCCTGAAGGCCTGCAACACTTCCATGCAAATTTACTCTTCCCCCTATGCCAACACTGGAGATGACAGCAGCTTTGGACAGCTGCTCCCTGCATCCGTCCTGAGCTGCTGAGCTTCGTGACTCAAAACAGAGGGGAAGTGCAGATGAAGAAACCAGGCTGGCATCACTTGGGAAAACCTCAACTGCTTTCCCATTCTGGTAGTTCAGACTTTTTGACGTAGTTTCTCATATTTATTTCAGGCCTGATTTTTCCTGTGTTTTCTGGAAGGTCTAGTAAATAGGAGCAGATGATTCTTCATTTGAAATGAGCGAGAGCCTTCCGCCTTTGATTCACATTACCCCACACTGGGGCAGAGATCACATACTCCCCTGTGCACATAAAATACCACTTGAAAAGACTTTCACTGGGGGTCTTTGGTATTACCAGAAACAAAGTGGAACAAAGTGAGAGATTTGTGAATAGCCACACATGTATTCTTGAAGATAGTTGTGGAGGGGAAGAACAGAAAAAATACTGTAACTGGAAACAAAAATTGGTTGTTCCACTTCAACTATGCGTAAGCCCAAAGGAACACGATGCATAAAATGAGATTGAGAGGATGCAACTTAACTATCCTTTCCCACATTACAAATCAAAAATTACTGCAACACCTATGGCAAAGTTCAACAGTGGAAGGTCTCCAGGCAGCAAAATTTGACCTTGTTGAGGGTCAGTGACCAGGGGACACGCCAACCTGCAGCCATCCAAAAGCAAAACAGCCTTTAGCCACAGCAGGCAGAAGGGCTGGCACTGACATCCACCCTGGCCACTCACAGCAGCCTTGTGCTGAGACATGAGAGCACCTGCAAGCTTTACATGATGTCATAACTGAGCACAGCAGCCATTTCTCATTGCAGATGCTACCCTAAGCTGTGCACAAGGACCGAGTCAGTGTTCATTATATAGCCCTCCTGAAACCCCTCAGAGAGCAAATCACACCCAGAGTTCAGAGAAGCCCAAGCTATCATCTTCCATCTAAGCACATCAGTGTAAACATACCCTATGGCTTTCCCAGAAGATTGATTACCTCTCATACCTAGACACTTAGCAGGCTACTTTTTCACCTTCTCCTTTTGTTTTCGTAGCCCTGAAAAGGCAACATCTAACACAAAAACTGTCCTTTGGGCCTGACCAGTTTTTTCCAGCGCACAGCACTCGGGTAGGAGATGCCCTTGTGCCAGAAAGTCCTGGCTGCAGACCTGCACACCCCTCAATTCCTGCTCCCTGACCCCACAGGGGCACAGAGGCAGGCACACACCCAAGGCCTCTCCCACCTTGCTGCCAAAAAATACCCACCTTCCTCTGGAATGTTTTGCAGACAGCAGCGAGAGCTTCATTGGTTTCAGCAACCAAAGCATCAAAGATTTGCACAACACTTCAAGACCTCTCGCAACAAACAAAATGCTTAAACTCTTCCCCTCTGCACCCTTCTAGAAAAATATGTTGCAAAGAGCAAACTAAGTTTACAGGAGAACTATGTGAATCATACAGTACAGTAATAGAGGTTCTTCTAAAACCCATCCGTACCACTTGCAAAAGTTATTGTATATCACTGGTAATTCAGATTCCTTTCCCTTCAGGGAAACTAACCACTTCCTCCTAAGAATTTCTGAAAAAGTATCTTGGACTTGTTTAAAGACCCAAAGCCACTAGTTATGATCATCCAAGGAAGATCTCTGTTAAAGGAAGTAGGATGCAAAAGTACAGGACAGAAGAATTGGAATCTTACAGTGCTCACTGAGCCCAGTTTGTCTTAATTCCTTACAAACCAGGAAGATACAGTTGTTCAGAGAGACAATATTATTTAAATAGACTCCTTGTGATGAAGTTCTATATTACATGTTGTAGTAAAGGCTATTATTTCCCCATGCAAACCTGACCTTGCTTATCATCAGCTTTACTAGTAACAACCTGAAATAAAGATGTTGTCATATTGTGTTGGTGGAGCTACACCAGATAGTCCTAATGAATTGGATCTTCTGATTTGCATTATCAAAGACCTGAAGGTCACAGATTAAAAACATATTGATAGAGTTGATGTTGCAGCACATGATATACTCTTCATTTTTTGTACAAGCTAGCATTTTTTGCATAGCTAGCATTATTATAATGATGTATATATGTAAAACAAGGAAAAATTTCCTCTCTAGCTTCCTCTTTTGCAATACCACATCTACCCTGCTTTACCTGTATATTTCTGTATCTGTTGTAACCTCACTATTTCTCCTCTCATTACAAAAAGCAGAAAAAAACCAGCACACTTTCCTGCACAACCTACTCTAGGTTACAAACTACCTAGCTTTAGCACAAGGTTGGGCTGCATGATCTCCAGAGGTCCCTTCCAACCCCATGATTCTGCAGTAACAGGCTGAGCAGAAATGTAAACTGCAAGCAGAACCAAGACAAGTACTCAAAGCCTCACAAATACAGGGGGGTACATGTGATGGAAAAGCCTTCCATCACATAGGTCACAGCCACGATGAGGCTGATAAAAGCAGCAGCATCTTGCAGAGCCAGGTAAAGCAGGCTCGGTTTTCAGACTACAGAAGCCTCATTCCCCACCAACACACAACAGTGCTCTGCTGCCTATGCAAACTGCTCTCTTTTAAGCCAGGTGCTACCTCATAATTTCTCTTCAACCTCAGTCCCTCACATCTTATCCAGCACAAGATCCAGGTTTATCACAACCAACTCCTCCAGCCAGTTCTCACTCCAGCCTCTTGTGCCTTTTCACAGGCCTTCTCTCTGTCTTCATATCATAATCCTACAGCCTGAAATCATTTTCAAGTTAGGGAAGCTAATGGCTTTATTCTGCTGTACTGCAAAAAATTCCAACCTGTGTACAAGCAGTTTGCCCCATATTCCCAGTATATGTGTTTTCAGTAACTGCTGCACCGCAAGAGCAGATAAAATGTCAACTGTTCAAAACTCACTTGAGCAAGCCACAACATTTACAAAGCATTTCTTTGAAAAACACTGATATTGCTATCGTTTCAAATTACTAAATACTTCCAGAAAACGTAAATCACTACAAGATCCATTCTAAAAGTTTAATTGTAGCTGCACCTACCGATTTCAAAAGTAAACCCTAAAAAGCAAGGTTGAATGTTTTCTTGAAGCTTATTTTATAACTTCTACACAATCCAAGTACATACAATTGCAGAAAAACATTACTCAGTACCATCCCCACTCCCCAGCTCCCAAAAGCAGAGCTGTCATTCCTGTAAACAGGAGCAGTAACCAGCTTGGACGTTTCCTTTTGATTTCAGTGCTGCGGATGGACACAAGCAGCTGAGTGACCTCCCCCAGTGCTGGCTGGGGCCAGGGCAGCGAGGAGAGCAAAACACCAACTTTTCCATCTGCGGGTGGAGTCAGACAGCTGCTGTTCTCCCAGCTCTGCTCCGCCTGGTTGTTTCTCCCCAAATTCCTGTTTCAGTCCAATCCTGCTTTGTAGCTCCAAATGCTAAAACAAACTTTTGGATGTATGACAAAGGTACACCCATACATCTCTGAAAGAATCTTAAAGGCTAACAAAAGCCAACTGGCTACCAAAAAGTGATCAGTAGTAAATCCACTTACCATGTAGCAGCTCAACTTGCTGTACTGTTTATCCCATCCC